AATAAGATTACTCCTACAACATTAAGTTCTTCTGTAATTTTTTAAAACAAGTGTACTAGTAATATTATTAATTACTAATACTCCCGTTAACCACTCCAACTTAGCTTAAAATGCTTGGGCTCGGAGTGTTTGATAACAGTAGTCTTATGATGGATTCGAAACCACGCTTTTTAAATTTTACAGTCCCTAGCCATTAGGCTATAGTTGCCTGAAATAGAACAGCGCAGCTTTTTCTTCATAACTGGCTAATAGGCTGTTTTATCTAGTTTTTTGCTATTTAATCTCTTATTTAGCGATGTAATTAAATCCATGATATTCCAATTATAGCCAAAGGCCTTTTCTAGAATATGCTAACTTTCATGTAGATAAATTTGGACAGTAAAATAGCTAAATACAAAATTTTAACCAAATAACACATACAAGACAAGCTACAAGCAATATTTAATGAAATTAATTTATGTTTTTACCACTGGTTCGGAAAAAAATATATATATTAGGGGAAAAACCAGCAAAATTGTAGCGAGTTTCTAGATTTTAAATTATAGATTTGCTATGTATGTAATGAAGTTAAAATATGAGCATTTAGAAACTTGATAGTGGTATAGCTTTAGCTTAATTTAAAAAATACTTAAATAAAACTATTAGTATTAAATATGTATGTACACGCACATACACACCGCAGCGCTTTGATTTGATGATTGACATAAAATTTTGTATTTAGATGTTTTTCCAGATTCCAGAAAAAAAACAATATTTATTAATCCTATGCAAAGCTTGGTCACCCAGTTCAATATTAAGAAAACTAAAAAAAACTTTGACACTTTGTGATGTGAAACTAATACAAGTTGGTGTCACACACTAGGTTGACACTTGATAACGCATCTGTTGTTTTCTTTGTTTGAATTTGTTTAAAGATGTCAATAGGCTACAGTAGCCTCTATGTAATTAAATCCATGATATTCCAATTATAGCCAAAGGCCTTTTCTAGAATATGCTAACTTTCATGTAGATAAATTTGGACAGTAAAATAGCTAAATACAAAATTTTAACCAAATAACACATACAAGACAGCCAGCAATATTTACTCGATGAAATTAATTTATGTTTTTACCACTGGTTCGGAAAAAAATATATATATTAGGGGAAAAACCAGCAAAATTGTGACGACTTTCTAGATTTTAAATTATAGATTTGCTATGTATGTAATAAAGTTAAAATATGAGCATTTAGAAACTTGATAGTGGTATAGCTTTAGCTTAATTTAAAAAATACTTAGATAAAACTATTAGTATTAAATATGTATGTACACGCACATACACACCGCAGCGCTTTGATTTGATGATTTGGATAAAATTTTGTATTTAGATGTTTTTCCAGATTCCAGAAAAAAAACAATATTTATTAATCCTATGCAAAGCTTGGTCACCCAGTTCAATATTAATAAAACTAAAAAAACTTTAATACAAGTTGGTGTCACACACTAGGTTGACACTTGATAACGCATCTGTTGTTTTCTTTGTTTGAATTAGTTTAAAGATGTCAATAGGCTACAGTAGCCTCTAACCATCAGATGGAATTTCGGTACGTGACAACGCTTCAATTTTATAACAAAGTCCAAAATAAGAAAAAAATATCACAATTATTTAATAGCATTTCTAACATATTAAATAAAACCACTTTCATTTTTAGTATATTTTAAAACAATTGTATTTATTATACCTATAGAAATAATATTTGTTTCATTTGTTACATAAATATTAAAATAACAAGAGTTTATGTTTATATAATAATAAAATTAAGATAATTTTCGTAATTTAAAAATAATTAGCAATTTGGTGAAACACAAAATTATTAATTATCTCTTTAACTGGCTGCAGTTTTTCAATCGTACCACACAATGGAACGCCAAAAGATATTGGAAGGGTGGGTACGTCACTTATCTCGGATTAAAATGTCGGTCCGCTTCGCAGATACTTTGACTGGAGAGTGTACCGTATCATTAAGTAAGAAGTAAATGCGTGTTAAAAACAATTTGGTGATATAATTAAAATTTGAATTTGAATTTTTCATATCTTACAAACAGAAATGAAAACACCTTGTGTACTGCCTGGATGCTCTTTTATTGTAAGTAATATTTTCAGTTATGGTTTTTAATCTTGGTTTTATACTTTAATCATTTCTTCTTAGTAACATATATTTATAAGTAAAATTTTTATTAATATTAGTTTAATATTAGTATTAAAAGTTATGCCGTAGATTAAATAGAAATGTAAATCAAATCAGTTAGTGGCGATCTCCCCCCACTAGAAGGATCATGCAGGGTGTATTAAACTGAATGTAATAAATATCTAAGTAGTTTTTTGAGTAATTTTATCGTTTAAAACTTTTTAAATAATATTCCATAAAAAGCGGTTATGTATGAATTAAAGTTAAGTTTTGTTTAGAAAATCTTAAAGCAAACCTGGAGTTGTGATTGGTTGAATTTTAATTCAAAAATATAAAGCCGTTATTCAATTTTCCTTGTATTGATTGAACTTAATAAAGTATCATCAAAACCAAAACTTATTAGGACTAAATTGTCTTTCATTACTAATACATAATACGATTATAAAATTCGCCTACGTATTATGTTCCGTTTGTCGAACTGTAGACGCTTTGTGTGTTTAATCATGCCGTATCTAAAATCCTTATCAAGCTTTGCGATAAAATCGTAGCGTAGGAAAGGCACAGAGAGAACAGTAATACAAAAAAAACAATGAATTATAAAAATGTGTATGCTTATATTACGATAGAGTTTGTTTGTGAGATAAAATCTATAATGCAAAATATCCACGATATGCCTGAAGGGGCAATCGGCCAAGACAATTTTACTTTATATTCGAATAACAACACATTATGATCACATATTACGAGAAATACAATAATAAATTAATATTTCATTATAAAGTGGCACAATATCCAAATTTTAGTACCAAATTATAGTTTAACACGATTAACTTACCAATGGAGAAACAATGTTCTGACTCTACACTAGCACTAGAGTAAAGATCGGTTGGATCTCGTAGGCCGTCGATCGATACAGACGGCTCAAGACTGTGTTATGTGGCATCGTGATGTGTATTTGTTGAGGTCTATATTCTGCAGTAAGCTAGTGATAGCCATGTAATATTAATATCGGTGATAAAAATAATATTATAAAACAAGTCAATTTAACTTCTACACTTAGGCTGGGATTGTATTTGCCGTCAATCGCTAGTCTGCAGTAAGTTAAATAAAAACATAACGTATTTTATGAAATAAACCAAAGTGAATTATACGTTTATGTACAAAGTCGATGTTGTGTTTCGTAATAAATAAATTCGTTATTTTTTGAGTTCTGTTAAAAATAAAATAAAATAAAAGTTACTTAAGTTATTTTATCAGCGTTATCACGTTATCACTATCGTTAAGTAAATAACTATAACACGTAAATTCGAGAAAATTTTAATATTTTTAAAGATATTTAAAAAACGAATGCATCGATTGTTTTAGTTCTTTTTTTAAAATTTCCGCTTCCATAATGAAAGAGTTTATATGTACTTAAGATATTTAGATATTAGCATCGATGGAAATAACCATGTAGGTTAACAAGCGCAACTGTTGGTCTTAATGATATTTTAATTGATCTCGTAATAAAAATTCATTAACATATTTAACAAATTATCTGTGCGATAAAAATACTAGACGTACGCTATAATATCGTGAAAACAATATCCTTATTTTAATTCTTTAAATTTATTTTTAATATTTTGCGGTTTTTCTGAAGTTTGTATTCCGAATGTGACGAGTGCATTGATGTACCTCTTGTCGTAATAATAATGTCCTCCAGCCCGAATTTCAATCACGGCGGCCAGTCTCAACGAAGATCAGCCATCTGCGCACGACAGAATTATAGTGCTCGAGTGTATGCGCAAGTACAGGTGTACTCATTGATATAATAAAGATCTGTTTGTTATATTTCTATGGATGTACTCTTTATTCTACTCTTTATTCTCTCTGCTTTCCAAGGCACGAGAGTCTAACACCGCAAATTTTCTGGTTACGGGCTACTACTGAGGATTTGAACCCAGGATCTCATGATCAAAAACGGCGTTTAAAACCACTAGATTACCTAGTCAGACATCACCTGTTTCTCCTAGTCTCGTATTTTGTTAAATACGTAACTCTATATTATTTCTCAGACTCAGAAGATCGCACATGGGACACATCGATCACGCGAGCACATAATTTTTTTAAGAAATGGACAAAAATAATTAACTCTTAGTACTCGTACGCGAGTATTACTTTGTCAAAAATCTTATTTTAATATTTTTTTGGGAACGGTAGTTACGGTTTGTGATTTTTCTTCGTGAATAAGCTAATTACCTCTCGTTGTGTAGATAACTTGAATGAACCTAACTGTGCCAGCTCATTAAATCGTTTTTAGCCTCGTGTTTTATCATTTTTCGTGACTTTCGTATTTTTTGCTGTCTTTGTATTCTTCAAAGGTTATTTTTTATCCAACTTTTGTAATTCTTAGAATATGAGTAATAAAATTGTTTTAAATATTGCGAACAGTTTTAGTGAATTCATTGTTCTTTTAAATCTCAATTGTTGATATTCCTTCATAATAATTTAATTTTTTGTGTTTGCGCAAATTAAATGATGTCGTCTCTGTTTTTCTGTAGTTAGTGTTATATCGCTGAATTATTGTGGCAATTCATAATGCTATCGCATAATCGTGTTGTTTCAACTCGCTCTAACTTATCAAAATGAAGTGGGAGAGACCGATATTGTGATAAAACCACTAAATTTCATAATGGTAGTAGCATTCATACATTCGGACGCAAGGATAACATTGCAAAAGTGGGACACATAAATTGGTCAGGATCACAAACGTCGTGGCGGTTAAGGGACGTGTGACATTTGTTAATTTTTTTATTGCACTTTTATTGGATCTGTCAGAAGGATCGTGAGAAAAAATGGTAAATATGAACTTATAAATTTTTTTTAACATTTAGTGTTGTAAAAAATTTCACTTTATTTTAACTTATTGGAATTTTAGAAAATAATTACAACCACTTGTTAATTTTTAATGAATATAATCAAAAGAGCATTAAAGCAAAATTAGAATTCGGATTACAAATAAATTAGGTAGATTAAATTTTGTGCAATACTATGCCGGTATCTGTATTTCCGTACGAATACAATCTGGGCGTCTTCAAGGCAAGAGTGAATAGATTTTGTTTTAATAAGACAGTGCGATTTACCATCTAGGGCTACATTACCAGTTACCACCAGGTGGCACTATGGTTGACCACAGTGATTGTTGTCATTATTTTTATAAGCAAGTGCTTATAATAAATAAAAACGTCACTAGCATACGTTGACGACTAGAACATCGCCTTTAATAATTTTACCTCCTATTTTCTAAACTTAAAAATATAATTTTCCCGTGACGACTGGTGACTGTGGTCAAAGGGGACTATGGAAAAATGATAAAAAATCCCCTTTACCTATCGCTCATAAGGCGACAATTTAAAAATGCCAAAATGACCCATCCATAACGTCGACGGTAGTTAACGTCAAAGTTTCAGAGCTCTAATACTGCGGTCGTCAATCCGCCTGCCAAAATTGAATTAAAAGGTTAAAAGCTTGCATTAGATGCTTTTCATTCATTCATTCAGTAGTTCCTATATAGGTCGTTTACACTCCCCTTAGAAAACCTCATAAGGGAGCTATTTTCTGTATTTGCCACACTTGGCAGGCGGGTTTGCAACCGCAGTTTTTTTTTCTTGTGGTCTATTAGGAAGACGCTGCTGACCATTTTCTAATTAATTTCTCTCTGTTGCCTGTTACGACACCCACGGGATGATATGAGGTAGTGGATATTACACCCACACTATATGGTTTGTAGGCTGTAACTTTTAGTTTTTACGGATATTTTTTTTTTTGTTTTAACGTTGTTCTTCCTTATCATCTAGAATATTCCTAAAGTAGCTAAACAGTACTTATTTTTTAATTTCATTTACTTTTACATTAATATTCTTAATAATTAGGTAGGGAAAATTGGTATTGTAAAAAGAAGAGGTGAAAAAGTATATATATACTACAAACATATAAATAAATGCGATTGAGTTATTTAATTAAATTCAATCAATATATTACATATTATATTTTACTTAATGGCTAGTATGAGAGTGCAGTTACAATTTAAAGTGCTAAGTAGTGTTTTTGTACATCGATTACCGCATACTATAGAAATTACAGCAAGCCCTAGCTTCGAAAGTACCGTTGCTCTTATTTATAATATAAACAGCTTATTTAGTATGCAGATAGATAATCGTACAGAACGTTATACCGAACGATTTAGTGATGACATTTTTAAATATTCTGATGGTTACCACGAATTTGCTTTAGCTAGTTTGCCTGCAGTTGTTACTTCCACGCAGACGTAGTCTAAAAGTTAATATACGGATCTAGTTAGGTGCCTTTTCAAATTAACTTAATTTTAGCAAAGCTAGGAAAATATAGGTTGTTAATATGATCTTTGCATGCGACGCGTCGGTGGCCATGGAGTATGGATTACTAATAACAGTACACTTACTTTACGTTAAAAAACTAAATTTATTGTTCCTTTCTCTCCTATTCATGGACTTGTGTTCCTTACTCGCATGGAATTCTTCCCATTTTCGCACTACACACTTCTTCTTTACCGAAATATTTTATTAATGGTGTAATTACGATAATTTTTCAACAAAATCATATTTAGCCATTTGCTCGATAGTCTCAAGTCGTCAAGGTAGCCATTCACGTACAATCGGTATGGATTATCAAAAGAGTGTCAATTGCACACCTGCGACTTGGTCAACTAGACGATCCGCGAAAACGATGACGACTGTTCATCATTAGTTTTGGTTTATTAAAATGTATTGTGGGTCCTTGATTGTCATTTTTTGTGAAACATGGCGCTGCGTAACATTTATAAATAATGAAAGTAACGCAACTTTTTTCTTTTATTACATTAGCAATAAAATCTACATGCCTCTGATAATTTTTTAACGTTACGTATTTTAGCCTTACGCTCGGAGAGTTAAGCACATATTTTTTCATAGGCAAAAGTACTAAGGTAACGATTACTTCATTCCGCCCTGACCACAAAAACTCTTCATATCTTTCATACAGCAATATAAACATGGTAGGTAATAAAATTACTGGTCCGTAAGAGGCAGAGTGATTGGCTCGGTCGTTCGGACCGTCGCAAACATCAACGCTCTCGCTACAACCGATGCAGTCGTGACACAAGTCTAATTAATAAAAGACTGAATTCCGTTAGACAACCTTTATAGCTGTCGCTACTTGAGTGCTTCCATAGGCATTTGACTGCGATACTGAGAGTCTGGAGAATCTGCAGGTTCAAGTATACAGTAACAGTTATTGTTTGTAGTGCCTACAAAATTTTTTAATTTATAAAACTCCTCCACGATACGGAACAAAATCCAACTAATGTTTTTTTTATAGGATAGGGTGATAAACGATTACACAGTCCACCTGATGGTAAGTGGTACATCTATCCTCGATTACAAATCAAAATGCAAATGCGTTGTCACCCGTGAGGACTAAGATGGAATGCCTCGTTTCCAGTAAAAAGGGTCTCTGGTTCTCTACACTAACCATAAGAAACACAACACCATTAAGCTGCTATTTTACGCTGGTATTCTGTGAGAGCGCGTATCTTCCCCGGTCGAGCCGACCCATTCGTGCTACAACAATACTACTAATATAACTGCAGCATGACTCTACCACTTATGAAGTTAAAAAAAACTATGTTTAAAACATTGGGTGGATTTTTAAAGCATTTTCTATATTTATACACATAACTACATATTATATACAACATATTTATTCAATTTCTACGATAGTTACAAGTACATTAACTATAGATTGGTCTTTAAATGAAACGTATCAAAAGTTACTGAATCTAATGTTCTTGGGCGTATTTATAATTTTATATACATACTTTGAGAGAAAATATTTTCGTTTATGTCCTACGCATCTACCTCCCACATCGTGTTGCCTGCCTACACAGTTGGTACTACGCCTACATCGCAGCTGTTATCTATTTACTAACTTTCATAGCCATCTGAAAGACGGTCAATTTTAACTAACGTACCTAATATAAAGCAATATAAAAACTGAAGTATAAATGTATGAAGCCTAACAATGCAATACCACGCACCTGCAACCGTTCTTCTTTGAAAAACTATTGCCCCACTGCCCGCGCCACTCTCGTTTTCCCACGCAGCCAATCTCGACCGCATGCACTAAAAGGTTCGTACATACGCATACCGACGACGTGCGCACACGCACACGTACACACACACACACACAAACACACATACTGCGCAACTGGGCATGAATCATTCCGAGTACTTTATATCTAATGTAAATGAGATCCTCACTGCAATCTGTCAACAGCTGTAAGATACTTCCCATAGGTTCTAAAAGCGAGTAGTTTTTTTTATAGGATAAGGGTGACAAGCGGGCACACATTTCACCTGATGGTTGGTTGCTGTGGCCCATAGATATCGACATCTATCCTCGTTTGCGAATCAGCATTAAGCTGCTATGTTACGCTGATATTCTTTGAGGTCGTGGTCTTTTCCCGGTCGAGCCTACCAATTCGTGCTACAACTATACAGTTAATATAGCTGAAGCATGGCTCTACCACGTTTGAAACAAAGTTGTATTTTTTATCTAACGCCAAAAGGCAAATAACAAAGAATAAATAGTAATAATTTTATAGTATCCCATTTCCACTGATAGCCATTCAATTCATTAAATTAAATAACTAATGATATTTTATAAAACTTTTATACAAATAAATTCATTCATGACACAGTTTTATAAGGACCGTGAATTAGCGGTGTAAAAATATTCGGTGCCCTATATTGTTGCGTAGATGTCAGTGTAAGTGTGTTACAGGCGACAGAGGAAAATAAGCCAATAAGCCAGATGGGCAGCAACGTCTTCCTAAAAACAAAAAATTAAAACTGCTGTTTTCAAACCGCCTGCCAAGCGTGGCAAATATGGCAAATATCCCCCTATGAGGCAATTTATGAGGGAGGCATAGTTCAGCAGAGGACTTTTTATTGGCTGTAATGGTAAAGGTCACATTTAATGAATTCAATATGTTTATTATTTTATAAATATTATAGCTTTGAATTTCACTTTTACAAATACGTAAAGGTCTTACACTACAGGGTCATATTTATAAAAAAAGTATCACGAGCGTAAGGATTTTAGATTTTTCAGTACGCAAAAATTTTTTAGGGTTTTATCCCTACCGGCATTATTGCTATTTTAACCCTTCAATCCCCGTAAAAACCCATGCAGTTGCGTGCGATCGCACCCACCCAAAGCACTATAAGCCATTGAAACTTATATTTAGAGACTACTTTTCTATGAAGAAGTTTGGCATTATAAAATCTATACAAAATTCTCTGGTCTAAACAAAAGTCAGTTTTTACATCATTATAAAAAGATTTTATTGTATTTTCATAACAAAAAAAACATACCAAGAGGATGTCGATAGCGTGAAAATCACAAATATTTCTATATATTACTCGATATTATTTACTTAAAAAGATAAATTATATTCACACAAAAACTTTCACTACAATTTTATAATAAAACACTATACTAAAACAATAATAAAACGCTAAAAAATACAAAAATCAACAAAACAACATTCACACGAAAATGGCGTACGATATAAACGTAGATTATAATTAAATATCCATAGACTAAGTGACTTTTTATTCCACTGGATGATAGAAAATTTCATATTGATTCAATAATGCCAAAATTCTTCATAGAAAATTAGTATGTAAACGTAAGTATTTTGGGTTAAAGTGCTGTGGGTGGGTGCAGTCACATTTGACCTCTTGAATTTTGACGGAATATCGAAGCGGTCAAATTTAGA